GGGAATACGGCATGTGTGTCTGCTGGAGTCCTTTTCTTGGTAGAGAAAATCAACGATTAAATTCTGGTTTAGCTTTTAATTTGAATCGTCCTTGTGCCTGGGGAGACGTACAGAAAAGCTTGTTCCATGGCAGGTTTAAATTGAAAGCGAGGAGTTTGGGATTGGACCTCAGGAAGAAATTCTTCACGGAGAGGGTGAGGAGGCACTGGGACAGGTTGCCCAGAGAAGCTGTGGATGCCCCATCCCTGGGAGTGTCCAAGGCCAGGCTGGATGAGGCTTGGAGCAACCTGGTCTAGTGGAAGGGGTCCCTGCCCATGGCAGGGGGGGTGGAACTAGATGATCTTTAAGGTCCCTTCCAACCCAAACCATTCTATGACTTGATGCTGGTGAAAACACCAGTATTTCCTCCGGGTGCTCCCTTGTTTCCCTCTTACTTAACATTTTATTTCAGCATAATGAAAGCGTCAAGCCCCAGCTAATTTAGACACAGTGATATTTGGATGAACTGCTTGTCTTTTTAAATATGCAGCTGATCATGTGTGAGAGGCAGAATAAAATTATACTAGGGGTTTTTTTTCCATATAAGTAGGAAGCTGTTAACCCTGGTCTCCCAGTGTAATTATTTAGGTAAAAACACATATGTATGCCTGTAAATAACATTATACATCCTTCAAGTGCGGGCCTGACCTAACACTGCGAGTTCGTTTATGGCTTGTCTGCATTGGAATGAAACTCAAAACATTTGTGGTTTGGAGCAAACATTTGTTGAATATTACGACTACTACGTGTAAATAGAGTGGGGTAACTCTATGGGATTTGCTGGGTACCTTGAATTAAAACCTCTTGTCCGACCCTTAACAAGTACAGTCAAGGATCTTGGAGCAGCTTGTTTATTTTAGCTAACAAGTTTGCACAAACAACATGGTTTCTAGCAGACTGGGCACTAATACGAACTACAAATGTTTATAGCATGCCGAGACTGAAGTTTTATTGCTGTTGCATAACTCAAGCTAATTGGAAATTGCATAACGAGGTAAAACAGCAAAACAACGGGGCTGATCATTTCCTAGGCAACTTCTGTTGAAGGCGTGCGGAAAGTCCTCGTAATACAGTGCCAGAATATAGTGAGGAGGCAGGGGATAGTTGCTTTACTCCACAAGGATATTTATACACACAGGCACCTCAGCTCGGTCACGTGATCAAATTGGGAGTTTCTCATGAACAAGCTAAAGCAAGTGACTTGCGTTGACCTGCATTAAGTCAATCTATCACAGCTTCGACAGAAACCCAGCAATAAACTGAAGCTGCTAACCCAGCCATTCCCTATCAGGGGTACAAATGAATTTGTGACAATTCCTGGGCTGGATCCAGAGCAGCGTGGCCAGGGGGGCGAGGGAGGGGATTCTCCCCCTCTGCTCTGCTCTGGGG